CACCGAGGCGGACGACTCGACCGATGCGACATCACCACCCGAGGCGGCCGCGGACACGCCCGCGGATCCCACGGCGACAACGTGCTTCATCTCCCTCCACGCCCTCGCCGGCATCCGTGGCGAGCAGACCATGCTGCTGCCGGTGACGATCCATGGCGAGCGGCTGGTGGCACTGCTGGATACTGGCTCCACCCACAACTTCTTGCCCGAGGCGACCATGCGTCAGCTAGCCCTTCCGACGACGGGCGGGGAGCGCCTGCGTATCACGGTGGTGAACGGCGATCACCTCCGGTGTCATGGGCTCGCCCGTGACGTTCCCATCTCCATTGGTGGCGAACACTTCTCCATTACCTGCGCAGGGATCGACCTCGGCTACTTCGACTTCATCCTCGGGGTGGATTTTCTACGGACCCTCGGTCCCATCCTATGGGACTTCGACGCGCTCACAATGACGTTCTGGTGGCTGGGCCGCCGCATCCGGTGGGACGGCATTGGGGGCGTCGCGCCGGCCGTGCCACATCTCCAGCTGGTCGCCGCGTCCTTGGAGGCCGAGCAACCCCTGCTGGATTCCCTTCTGCAGCAGCACAGCGACCTCTTCGACGAGCCACGGGGTCTTCCGCCCGCCCGGGTGTACGACCATCATATTCACCTCATGCCAGGTACCCCTCCCGTGGCGGTTTGTCCCTACCGCTACCCTCAGCTGTAGAAGGATGAGTTGGAGCGCCAGTGTGCTCTGATGCTCGCCGCGGGCATCATCCGGATCTCCACGTCACCCTTCACCGCCCCGGTGCTGCTCGTCCGCAAGTCGGACGGCACTTGGCGTTTCTGCATCGACTACCGTGCCCTGAACGCGCTCACGCTCAAGGACAAGTTCCCCGTCCTTCAGATGCCCGACTTCGACCGCCCGTTCGTGGTGGACTGTGACACCTTGGGCGCTGGTTTCGGCGCCGTGCTTCATCAGGGTGATGGACCCCTCGCCTTCTTCAGCCGGCCTTTCGCTCCTCGCCATCTCAAGCTGGCGGCATATGAGCGGGAGCTCATTGGCCTTGTGCAGGCCGTTCGTCATTGGCGGCCCTACTTGTGGGAACGGTCCTTCCACATTCGCACGGACCACTACAGCCTGAAGTTCTTGCTGGACCAACGGCTGTCGACTGTGCCACAGCACCAGTGGATCAGCAAGCTCTTCGGCTTAGACTTCTCCGTCGAGTATCGGCCGGGCCGCCTTAACACCGTGGTCGACGCGCTGTCCCGTCGCGACTCCGACATCGCTCCCTCCGTCGACGAGTCCGCCGGGGCGGTCCTGTGCATCCGCTCCGAGCCGACGTTCGTCTCTTCGCCTACATCCGCCGTGCAACTGCGACGGCCGACGATGCCGTCCTTCTTCGGCAGCAGCTCACGGCCGGCGACCTGGAGGAACCGTGGCGCTTCTCTGACGGACTGCTTCTCCATGGGCGCCGGATCTTTGTTCCGGCGCATGATGATCTCCGTCACCAGGTGTTACAGCTCGCCCACTCGGCAGGTCATGAGGCTGTGCAGAAAACCCTCCATCGTCTTCACGTTGACTTCTACATCCCTGGCGATCGCGCCCTGGTCCGCGACTGGGTTTGGTCTTGTCAGACATGCCAGCGCAACAAGACGGAGACCCTGCGGCCGGCTGGGTTACTTCAGCCCTTGGAGGTGCCGTCTCAGGTCTGGGCGGATATATCCATGGACTTCATCGAGGGCCTTCCCAAGGTGGGCGGCAAGTCGGTCATCCTCACGGTGGTCGACCGCTTCTCCAAGTACGCCCATTTCATCGCACTCGGCCATCCGTACACGGCGGCGTCCGTGGCCCGGGCCTTCTTCGACGGCATTGTCCGTCTACACGGGTTCCCTACTTCGATCGTCAGTGATCGGGACCCTGTATTCACGGGCCATGTCTGGCGCAACCTCTTCAGGATGGCGGGTGTCCAGCTCCGCCTGAGTGTGGCGTTCCATCCTCAGACAGACAGTCAGTCCGAGGTGGTTAACAAGGTCATTGCCATGTATTTGCGTTGTGTGACAGGTGATCGGCCTCGCGCTTGGGTGGACTGGCTTTCTTGGGCGGAGTACTACTACAACACCTCCTATCACTCCGCCCTGCGCGCTATGCCGTTTGAGGTGGTCTATGGTCGACCACCCCCGCCTATACTATCGGTGGACCCGGAGACGGCTCGGACAGCGGTTGCGGGTGACCTTATCCGCACCCGCGACAAGATGCTTGCTGAGGTCCGTCAGCGTCTCCTTCAGGCCCATCAGCTGGCCAAGCATTACTACGACGATCATCATCGCGAGGCGGAGTTCGCGGTGGGTGACTGGGTGTGGCTGCGTCTTCTCCACCGCTCTACGCAGTCGCTTGACCCGCGCGCCAAGCGCAAGCTCGGGCCTCGCTACGCCGGGCCCTTCCCTATCTTGGAGCGCATTGGGAAGGTGGCCTATCGTCTTCAGCTTCCAGCCCGCGCTCGCATCCACGACGTCTTCCATGTGGGGCTGCTCAAGCCTTTTCGTGGCGAGCCACCGGCGGCTCCTCCAGCGCTTCCGCCAACCGCCGATGGTCGCATTCTTCCAGAGCCGGCAAAGGTGTTGCAGGCACAGCTCCGTCGTGGCGTCTGGTTCGTCCTCGTTCAGTGGGCGGGCCTTCCGGAGGAGGAGGCTACTTGGGAGCAGCGTGAGGATTTTCGCCAACGCTATCTAGACTTTCAGCTCGAGGACGAGCTGTTTGCGCAGGCTGGGAGAGATGTTATGACCGGTTTGGTCTATACTAGGAAGAGGCCCACCGGGCATTAGTATTAGGGGCTTGGCCCACAAGTTATCTTAGGCAAGTTATTTTAGGCAAGTTATCTTAGGCTAAAGTTATAAATACTAGTTGTAAGACACCGTTGAAATCAAGCAATAAAGATATTATCATCTTTTGTTGCCCGGCTCCCTGAGGAGCCGGAACCCTAGCCGCCGCCGCCTCTAAACCCTAGCCGCGACGGCGCCTGTCCGCCGGCGCGCCCGCTCAAGCCCTCGTCCCCCTCCTCCTTACCCATACAATCTGCGCCGGAGGCCTGGTAGGAACCCTAGTCCTACCACAAACATACTCAAACGAATAAATTCCCTCCTCAATACTGTTGACATGGTGCCCACTGCCCAGGCTAGTGACATCGTACTGTTGACTGCATATTGCTAATCAATTTACATTTCAGAGCTTCATCGTTGGTCCATTACAACCCGGTTTGATCCTAAATGGTGTTCCCGGGAAAGAATTTAAATGTGTGTGTGTGTGGGTGGGGGGGGGGGTCCGCCAGGCGATCCTCTCTCGCAATTGCTATTTGTTCTTGCGGCTGATTTGGTACAGTTGATGGTTAACAAAGCTTGGCATGAGGGCCTTCTTCAGCTACCAATTCCTCAACCTGAATTGGAAGATATCTCGGTCATACAGTATGCGGACGACACCATCTTAATCCTCCCCTCTGATCTTGCGATAATCACGACGATCAAAGGCTTGCTAGACTCCTATGCTGAGCCCACTGGACTAAAGATTAATTACACCAAGCCACAAATGATGCCTATTAATGTGTCAGATCAGCTGTCAGGTGAGAACCATGCCCTTCACTTACCCCACGGTGAGAGATTTGATGCCTCTTGTGGACAACATTGAACGTGCCCTCTGGATGTTATATGGCAGAATTGAGTACATCAACTCAGTACTCTCCTCTCTGCTCTTGTCTGCGATGTGTGTTCTTAAGCTACCAGATAAGCTGTTCGATCTTTTTGATCGTGCTAGATGGAATTGTCTCTGGAGGAAGGTGATGGATAGAGACGCGCGCACTGAGTCTTTGGCAGCTTGGCACTTGGTTTGCCGACCAGAAATGAAAGGTGGCCTTGGAGTGCTTGATCTTTAAATTCAAAACCAGGCCTTTTCTTGAAATAGGTCGACAAGGGGGGGTCGTGCTTATGTGGCATAAATACTATGAAGACACGCCACCCCATTCAAAACCCAGGTGTGGTTCCTTCTGGTGGCGCGACATCTTCTCCTTGATGGACGTTTACAGAGGAATTACCACCTGCGTGCCTGGGGCCGGGGACACCATCCTTCTCTGTAAAGATCTGTGGGACACCAAGGGACTAATGCAAGACTCATGTCGCTGTCTCTTTTCGTTTGCTAGAGAAGAAGACATTTCTTTGCCCAGTTCATGGTTAACCCTGAACCTGATCAGAATTTTCAATTGCCACTGTTTATATTCAAGCTAGAGAAGAACTGGAGGTGCTGACCGAAAAGCTAAGCAATATCTCGCTTTATCCTCTAAGGGCTGATGAACGGATTATCTGTTGGCGGGATGCCAAACAAATCCAACAAATTTTTCTTCAGAAATCCAAACCCTCCAACACACGTCCCTGCCATCTCGAAATCCAAGTGTACGATGAAGCACAAGGTTTTTGCCTGGTTGATGTTCATGGATGGAGTTAAAACAAGGGATCTTCTCTGCAGGAGGCACTTCAACATTGGTGATGATCACTCATGCTTGCTATGCTCCAACTAACCTGTTGAAACTAACACTCACTTATTCTCCGAATGTGAGCTCAGTGCTTCATGCTGGGGGATCTTGAATATTCATTGGGACACCTCCAGAGGTATGCAGGAGTGATGGCCATGGCGACTAGAAGCTGGCATGAGGCCATGTTCAAAGAAGTTGCGATCCTGGCGGCCTGGAACATATGAAAGCAGAGAAACAGACGTCACTTTGATACGGTGGCACTCACTTTGTTGAGCTGGAAGAGAGGACTAACTTAAGACCTGGAGATTCTGAAGTATAGGGCTAAACCTGAAAACCAAACCCTACTTGAAACCTTGATCACCTCCCTTCAAGCCTAGGCACTCCTGTTGTTGCTAATCTCTCTTGTATTTATACTGACCATACTACGCAAGAAACATCTCTTCAGATTACATCGGAGTAGTACAAGCAGTTTATTGTGCTGATTTACAACTTAACAAAGGCCTAGCCCAAGCTGAGGTAAACAGCAGCGGCGACGCCGGCGGTGTAGACAGCGACCAACTTCCCAGCCGCCCCGGCGCCGGCGCGGGACACGATGGCCACCCCGAGGATCCCGGCCGCGCCGGCCGGGGCACGGACGAGCGCCGCCTCTGCCGCGCCGGCGAGCACGGCCTCCCTGAACAGCTCGGCCGCGAACTCCCCGAACTGATCCCGCGAGAGCTCGGCAGCGCCTTCCAAGCCAGAGGCGCGCAGCGCAGAGTCTACGCGCACGCGCGGCGGCGGCGAGGGCACCCAGCGGCGGACGATAGGGAGGGAGCCCCGCAGGGCCGAGTGGAGGTGCTCGGACGCGTCCGCGAGCTGGTAGGGGCGGACGCCGGAGAAGGCGTGCTGGGCGTCGGCGAGGCAGCGGTCGAAGGCGGCGTCGCAGGCGGCGGCGAACGCCGGCGCCCGCCGGAGCGCCGCGTCCACGCGCTTTGAGGGGCTGAGGCCCATCTTTGGTTGATTGGATTTGGTTGACGTGACGAGGGTATGGGCTTCGCAATGATTACTTCAGAGATTTTGCAGCCGCTTATTTGCCAGGCCTCCTCCGCTTGCTGGGTCAGTGTATGTAAAGGCCTATTAGCCCATAACGTTGTAGTAATTTTCAAATTCCTTTCACATCAACATGGCAGGTCATCCGAAATCACTAGTTGAGGAATACTCGTTGCGTCTAAATCTTAAACCGCTTTCACAATTGAATTTCTCATGTTGAGATATTCAAAACTAGATCCCATATTGATAGGTTTTGACGAACTTTTCTTCATTAAAAAACCATACGTAAAAACCGAACCGGGAGCATGGGTTTTTTCCTTTTCAAAAAGGGCACGCCCGTGCCTCTCATGAAATCACAACCGTGTCTCTCACATAAGCAAAACTATGACTCTCGCGGAAGAAAAAAGAAAGAGAAAACGCGTTTTCCGTTTCCGAGAAGGCATGGTCGTGACTCTCGCGAAAGCACAACCGTGCCTCTCGCGAAAGCAAAACCATAACTCTCGCGGAAGAAAGAAAAAACAGAAAATATTTTTTTTTTCATTTCCGAGAGGCACGGCAGTGACTCTCGCGAAAGCACACCGGTGCCTCTTGCAGAAGCAAAACGGTGACTCGCGCGAAAGGAAGAAAAATTAAAAACGCATTTTTTCGTTTTTGAGAGGCACGCCCGTGCTCTCGCTAAAGCACAACCGTGCTTTTCACGGAAGCAAAACCATGACTCTCGCGAAAGGAAAAAAAACAGAAAACACGTTTTTTTCGTTTCCGAGAGACACGGCCCTGACTTTCGGGAAAGCAAAACCGTGCCTCTCGCGGAAGCAAAACCGTAACTCTCGCGAAAGGGAAAATAAAAGAAAACGCATTTTTTCGGGCAATTCTTTTCAAATTTTCTTTTGATCGAAAAGCTAAGGAAGACTGATGAAAAACTAAAACGTCGAAAAAACCCAAAAAACCATTTAAAAAGCCAAAAACACATGTAAAAAATAAAATAAAAATCCGGAGGGAGCACCCAGATCGTGACACGTGGCAAATGGCTGAGAGCGCGTCAAGTGGCACTGATCGTTGCGATGCTCCCGATGGAGCGCTCGTTAACTAGTTGCTCTCCAGGTCACCGCTCAAAATAAAAATTTAATCGGGCCAGTCACTGCTCAAAAAAATAAAATCGACTGGGCCATGCGGCGGTGGCATAGCGCGCACCACGGGAGTGGGCGTGCTGCGTGTAGGTACCACCACGTGTTACATATTGGGCGCATCTATGGAAGCATTTGTTTCATGTGTTTCTATTTATTTGTTTATTTTCAATTTATTTAGGTTTTTCTATTTGTGCTTGGGGTTTCTAGCTTTTATCCAAAAGAAATTCCTCTTATGAAATACACCGTCTGGAAAAGCATGATTGTGCTTTCACGTAAAGCATAATTATGCTTCACGGTAAAGTGTGCTTCCTAAAAAGTGATACGCACAAGCACAACTGTGCTTCCCGAACAATGAAAGCATAGTTGTGCTTCACGGTGAATTGTTCTTTTTGAAAAATGAAACGCATTGTGCTTTACGATGAAACAGAATCGTGCTCGCATCCGTGCTTTCTGAAAAGTGAAAAATGCAGTTGTGATTCACTGTGAAGCGTATATGCGTTTCCACGTGAAGCACAACCGTGCTTCCCAAAAAGCAAAAAAAAAACACACAATGTGCTTTTGGTTTTTAGTTTGTGTTCCTTTTTGTTTTCGGATGTATTTTTTTTTGTTCTCGGCTTTTTTGAAAGAAAAATTTCATTCAGACTTATTAACATGGGATCTAGGTCTAAAAATCTTGATACAAGAAACGCAACGGTGAAAACGATTCATGATTCAGACGCATGGTTCAAGAGATACAATATTTTGAAAAATCAAATTTATGAAGAAAAAAACACATAACTCCTAGATTGCGACAACTTGTCATCACCAAAGAAGATGGGAGTGACCAGCCCTATTAGGTATACCAGCTATACAAGAGAAGTACAAACAATTATAACAGGGACAAGGTAAGATAAGATAAGCACTAGAACTAAGGGAGCTTGCTAGTTCCTCACAATAAGCACAAGTCTTCCCAGAGCGCCTCGATACATCTGACTACTCCAAGATACACTCCAGTAGACAGGTGAGGCGAAATAAGCTACCATCAATTTGAGGGAGGACATGCCAAATAAAGGACACCTACAAGGAGGAGACCGACGTCGGCGGAGGCCTGACAAGGTCAAGCGTGACATTTGCTAGCGCCCCATCACTGGCAACCGAAAACTACACCCAATGAACCCAACAGCCTGCCAGCATGACACCAATCCCAGCAACCCCCTGGTCCTGGGATGACATCGCACCCCAAGAAGACTACCATCTAAAAGAGGCCAAGGGAACATCGAGGTACAATGCCGACGACAGGAGGCCCCTAGAGCAAGCTTAGTATCGAAATAATAGATGGACACTGCCGAAGAAGACGCTAAGGACGGGTGGCCGCCGAGAGTGTCGGATGGCCAAGGGAGGATGGACAGGAACTGGCGCCTCTAAGGAGGAGAACTGTTGGGGAACGTAGCAGAAATTCAAAATTTTCTATGCATCACCAAGATCAATCTATGGAGTAATATAGCAACGAGGGAAGGAGAGTGCATCTACATACCCTTGTAGATCGCTAAGCGGAAGCGTTCAAGTGAACGGGGTTGATGGAGTCGTACTCGTCGTGATCCAAATCACCGATGATCCTAGTGCCGAACGGACGACACCTCCATGTTCAACACACGTACAGCCCGGTGACGTCTCCTACGCCTTGATCCAGCTAGGGGAGAAGGAGAGGTTGGGAAGACTCCATCCAGCAACAACACGACGGCGTGGTGGTGATGGAGGAGCGCGGGACTCCAGCAGGGCTTCGCCAAGCACTACGAGAGATGAGGAGGCAGAGGGGTAGGGCTGCGCCAACAGGGAGATTGAGTCGTGTCTCTCGCAGCCCAAAACCTCAAGTATATATAGGGGGAGGGTAGGGGCTGCGCCCCCACCTAGGTTTCCACCCCTAGGGGTGGCGGCCAGCCCTAGATCCCATCTAGGGGGGGCGGCCAAGGGGGGAGAGAGGGGGGTGCACCACTAGGTGGGCCTTAGGCCCATCTGAGCCTAGGGTTTGCCCCCTTCCACTCTCCCTTGCGCCTTGGGCCTTGGTGGGAGGCGCCCCAGCCCACCTAGGGGCTGGTCCCTTCCCACTATTGGCCCATGTAGGCCTCCGGGGCTGGTGGCCCCACCTGATGGACCCCCAGACCCCTCCGGTGGTCCCGGTACACTACCGGTGATGCCCGGAACACTTCCGGTGGCCAAAACCATACTTCCTATATATCAATCTTTACCTCCGGACCATTCCAGAACTCCTCATGACGTCCGGGATCTCATCCGGGACTCCAAACAACATTCGGTAACCGCGTACATACTTTCCCTATAACCCTAGCGTCATCGAACCTTAAGTGTGTAGACCCTACGGGTTCGGAAGTCATGCAGACATGGCCGAGACAACTCTCCGGTCAATAACCAACAGCAGGATGTGGATACCCATGCTGGCTCCCACATGCTCCACGATGATCTCATCGGATGAACCACGATGTCAAGGACTTAATCAATCCCGTATACAATTCCCTTTGTCTATCGGTACGATACTTGCCCGAGATTCGATCGTCGGTATCCCGATACCTTGTTCGATCTCGTTACAGGCAAGTCTCTTTACTCGTTCTGTAACACATCATCCCGTGATCAACTCCTTGATCACATTGTGCACATTATGATGATGTCCTACCGAGTGGGCCCAGAGATACCTCTCCGTTTACATTTACACGGAGTGACAAATCCCAGTCTCGATTCGTGCCAACCCAACAGACACTTTCAGAGATACCTGTAGTGTACCTTTATAGCCACCGAGTTACGTTGTGACGTTTGGCACACCCAAAGCACTCCTACGGTATCCCGGAGTTGCACAATCTCATGGTCTAAGGAAATGATACTTGACATTAGAAAAGCTTTAGCATACGAACTACATGATCTTGTGCTAGGCTTAGGATTGGGTCTTTTCCATCACATCATTCTCCTAATGATGTGATCCCGTTATCAACGACATCCAATGTCCATGGTCAGGAAACCGTAACCATCTATTGATCAACGAGCTAGTCAACTAGAGGCTTACTAGGGACATGGTGTTGTCTATGTATCCACACATGTATCTGAGTTTCCTATCAATACAATTCTAGCATGGATAATAAACGATTATCATGAACAAGGAAATATAATAATAACCAATTTATTATTGCCTCTAGGGCATATTTCCAACAGTCTCCCACTTGCACTAGAGTCAATAATCCAGTTCACATTGATATGTGATTAACACTCAAGGTCACATCCCCATGTGACTAACACCCAAAGAGTTCTGGGTTTGATCATGTTATGCTTGTGAGAGAGGTTTCAGTCAACGGGTCTGCAACATTCAGATCTGTATGTACTTTGCAAATTTCTATGTCATCTTGTAGATGCAACTACTATGCTACATTTGGAGCCATTTCAAATAACTGTTCTACTTGGAGCTATTCTAAATTGTTGCTCCATTATACGTATCCGGTATCTCTACTCAGAGCTATCCGGATAGGTGTTAAGCTTGCATCGACGTAACTCTTTACGTCGAACTCTTTATCACCTCCATAACCGAGAAACATATCCTTATTCCTCTAAGGATAATTTAGACCGCTATCTGGTGATCTACTCCTAGATCACCTTTGTACCCTCTTGCCAAATATGTGGCAAGGCACACATCAGGTGCGGTACTCAGCATGGCATACCGTATAGAGCCTATGAAAAAAGCATAGGGGACGACCTTCGTCCTTCCTCTTTCTTCTGCCGTGGTCGAGCTTTAAGTCTTAACTTCATACCTTACAACTCAGGCAAGAACTCCTTCTTTGACTGATCCATCTTGAACAC